TTGGAGGAATACTATGCAAGTCTGAGGAATATCCGAAATGAGCTCAATGTGTATCATCCTCTGACACAAGATGTTCATATTCAACAACAATAGTGTGAGCAACTTGATGTGACAAGGTTTCTGGTGGTTTGAAGGCTGAATATGAACCTGTCCGAGCACAAATACTAGGGGGGGGGGGTTTGCTCTTCCCTCGCTTGAAAATGTTTTTGCCCGTCTTAGGAGAACATCTATTGAGTCTATAGAGCATTCTTCTCTCTCATACAGATCTGGTTTTGTGGTGACTAGAGGGGGAGGCCGTGGAAATAGAGATGGTGGTGGTGGTCGTGGACTTTGAGGTAACCGTGGTGGTCCCATGTTTAACCGTGCTGGTGGCCGGAGTGGAGGTCGGGACTCAAGGGGAGGTCATGGTAAAGGAAGAAGTAATGCCCCTAGGAAGTGTACATATTGTGGATTAGAGGGGCACATGGTTAATTTCTGCTATGATTTACATGGTCCACCCAACACTTGGGCTAACCATGCTGTGACTAAGGGTAGTGGTACAGCTACTGAAAGTCAACAAACTGACCCGATCCCCTCCACATCTACTGGTGTTTCTGGGAAGGAGATGGTGAGTGTACCCCATGCAGTATATGAGCAGTTCTTTCAGACATCTTCGCAGTAGAACACAGCTACTCTTGCCCATTTAGGTATGGCTTGCTTGACTTCCAAGCTTTCACATTGGATCATTGACTTCGGAGCCTCGGACCATATGTCTGGGACTCCTAATGTATTTCCTTCTCTTTCTCAGTCCTTCACATCTCAAACAGTTACTCTTGCTAATGGTTCTACATCTCCCATCTGTGGTGTTGGTGATGTTGATCTCTCCTTGTCTTTATCATCTGTTATATATGTCCCCAAGTTCCCTTTTAACCTTATGTCTGTTAGTAGATTAACCAAGTCACTTAATTGTTCCATAACCTTTTATCCCTCTTCTTGTGTGTTCCAGGATCTCAAGACAAGGATGAAGATTGGTGGAGGGCATGAGGCAAGTGGATTGTATTACCTTGATGGTGGTGGGCCCTCCAATAGCTTTTCAGTTGTCTCTTACTCCTCTTCAATGGCACTGTAGACTTGGTCATCCTTCTCTCAAGGCTCTGAAGTTGTTGGTTCCTTCCTTGAGTCATCTTTCATCTTTGGATTRTRAGTCATGTYARSTTGGGAAACATCATAGAGTCTCTTTTAGTCCAAGAGTTGATAGTCGTGTCTTGAGTCCTTTTCTTTAGTTCATTCTGAAGTCTGGGGTCTGATCAAAGTGATGTCATACAATGGCTATAAGTATTTTGTATTTTTTGTTGATGACTTTTCAAGGATGACATGGATTTATCTTATGAAAGATCGCAATGAATTGTTCTCTATTTTTCAAAAATTTTATACTGAAATACGTACCCAATTTGGTGTTCATATTAAAAAGTCTTCGCTCCAATAATGCCAAAGAGTACACCTCAATACCATTTCAACAATACTTAGAGCACCATGGGATAATTCATCAAGCTTCTTGTGCCTACACCCCACAACAGAACGGTGTAGCTGAACAGAAAAATCGACATCTCCTTGAAACTGCTCGGTCTTTGATGCTTAATATGAATGTCCCAAAGCACTTTTGGAGTGATGCTGTCCTCACATCCTGTTTTCTCATCAATCGGATGCCCATGTCCATCCTTAGAAGTCAATCTCCCTTCTCGGTGTTGTTTCCCACCTTGTCTCCATTTCCTCTCACCCCAAGAGTCTTTGGATGTGTTTGTTTTGTTCAAAACTTGGGGCCTGGTTTAGACAAGTTAGATGCACGAGCTACTAAGTGTATCTTCCTTGGCTACTCAAGGACTCAGAAAGGGTATAAGTGCTATAACCCTAACTTCCATAAGTCATTTGTGTGCTCCGATGTCACATTCTTTGAATCGGTTCCTTTTTTCTTGGATACTATGGTTTCTTCTCCTTCCCCCGTAGTTCCTCTTCCCGTCCCTGTTGCGGATCCCCTTCCCGTGGTTCCCATTCCAGTTGCAGATTCACCTCCTGTGCCAGTTACTACTGAGAGGCCACCAATCAGACAAGTGTATACTCACAGAAGAGCATCGGCCCCTCCTCCAATTCAGCCCTCATCGACAGATCCTGTCATTGCTTCTTCTCCCTTGGACCTTGATCTTCCTATTGCCCTGTGGAAAGGTAAACACACTTGTACTTCTCATCCTATTTCACACTATGTTTCAGCTGCTCACCTTTCTGCTTCTCATCGCAACTTTATATCATTTG